TTAGTGAGGTAGAATCCAATACCTAAAGAGTATGGAGAAGATAATTGCTGCCAGTTGCAACCAAGTGTTCTTGCTGTTGCTTCTAGCCTCTCTAATGGTTACAGCAGAGATTTTGGATACCACTTTTCTTCATGCTTATGCTGAACTATTTAAGCTTGCAGTCTTAATTTATGAAACAAGAAATTTGTTTTAAGGGTTGGTAGGGTGCCTTTGGGACCATCCGAGCTGCAATAGCAACTTCTGTTTGATTGATTCTCTAATGCTTGGTTTTTTTGAATTTCCATTTGCTTAGTCTGATCCTTGGTTGGCTTGCTCTTTTAGTTTATTAATACTCTAAATAAAGGAGCTTAATCTGTTAAATGCAGTGTTTCCTGTTTATTTATCATTTAGTTTAGACTGGACTAGATTTGTAAGTCTTTTGTTGACTTTTAACAGAGCTTATTTGTGTTTTACATTTCAGATTTTACTAAAATAATTTCCTCTTGTCTGTTGGTGTAAGAAATACCCATCAATGGAGTTGAGAGGTCTCTTCCAGTATCTAGTGAATCAGTTAAAAAAGGGGCTGGGAATTGAGCTTGTTCTCCTACTGGTATGTTAAGTTCTAAATATTAAATTTAATAAAGTCAACTATAAAGACTATGTTACCTTCAACTGAGTTGTAGCATTTCCAAATTGTCAAGAGGATACTTGGCAGGATTCTAATGCCACCTTCTAAATAGTATACTTTTAAAATAAGACTCCTGATTCATTCTAAATGTATCTCTCTAAAACTTGCTTTGATCTTAATTTATTTTGTTTCATTCTTATTTTTGACAGATTCAATCTTGCTTCTCATAACAAGAAAACATGTTTGGGGATCCATGCAAGCTGGCCTTTTGATCGCAGAATTGCCATGAACTAAGCCTCCTTTTCTAGTCCAAAATGATCTGATTTGGTCATTTCTAATTTGATGCATTTTGGTCGTTTCCTTATTGCATTCATTTGTTTAACCCATTTCATTTTTCTTGTTACAGTTAAAGTTGCAAGTGGCCAGTTCGTATTCCAGCCATGGTCCCGTTGAAAACATCAACAATGATAAAGTCAAAGACAATTTGGTAGAATTTTATTTTATTTTTTCACAATGAAACAATATATGTATTTTGAAAATGATTTTGCTTAATTTGTTGCTTGTT